CAGGAAGGTACAGCAACTACTACTGAAGTATTTCAGTGGTGGATTGTGTTCTCTCCCTTGCTTGCACCCACTATTTGACCTTCAAAACAGCACATGACAATGATACTCCCACATTCCAATTAATTGCCTTTTTATAGTTTCATCAAGTAACAAATTATGCAATGAACTTAATCCAGCTGGCCAAGTGAATGAATTCCCCACTTCTGATCTTTCATTTATATTTTTGGAACTCATTGATCCCTTCTTGTTTCATTGACTATTACATGGCTCACATGCTACCTTCCTTAGATGTTTACAGGATTCACTGCAATTCACCATTTTAATATAAGCTCTCATGTTAGGGTACATGAGTGATATCCTGATATATGCACTTAAATGGGTGGGGCATGCATTACATTGACATCACCCCCATCCCCTGTGGTTGAGAATGTTGCTGCCTTCCCTCATCAGAATTCAAGGCGGTTCAGAGAAAAACATAAATAAAAATGTTGTAATATCTAAAGATTTCCTTCAGCACTGCAAACAACTACATCAGCTCCCAGAATACTTATATAGTAATCCTTACTGAGTTTGGGGACTATACTGGCATAAACTTTGCTGCCACCACTGACAATTTCAAACTTTTCCTAGATTGATGTGCTGTTCTTATTTATAGTATACAAGGGGGACTGTATACAGAATGGATACTCCCTCCCTCCCTCCCTCCCTCCCCTCTGTCAAGAGCCAACGAGAGAACATCTGTTAGTTACTAAAGGTTGGAGCTGGGGAAGAGGCACATTTTGACAAATGGCAAGTCTAGCAGGCTTAGTCATCTGATAAAACCCATTCTAATGTGATGCAATGTTTTCTGTGGGTGCAGTCAAAGAATATTTTGTCATTATTAAATAGCAGTTATTAAATGTTCTGAGATCACTTGTATCCAAGTGTAAACATATACAACTGAAACCTCTGTTTTCAAAGTAACACATTTCAATCTATGTTTCTTTGGGTACAAATCTATCTTCAATAAGAGTATATAGGGCCTGATAATATTGACTCACCAACTTATTCATCTATCACTAAAACATTACTACATAATCTGCTCAGAGCACTTCAAATATTGGATGGATCAGAAGAAAAATAATAATCATGAATCACCATTGTTTATTAAAAATCAAGAACATACCAAATTAAGGAATCAATTATTTATTTTATGTATAAACAATTTAAGGGAAAATAACAGAGAAAATTGACATAAAACTAAAAGATCTGTTGAAAGGCTGGCAAATGCCTTTCTTCCAAGGGTTCTTTTTTTCCAGCTGGGAGTGCTTTCAGAGTAAGGACACAGACAGAGGCAGCTATTTGGAAGCAAGTTTCTTTAATTTCCAGGAAGGCAAGAGATAGCAAGAAGTCTGCGTTCCTGGGGCTAGCCAGCTTTGTGTAATAAACTCCTGATTTTTATACCTTTTCTCCTTTTGTGTGTGAGTGCTTAAATCCTGTGGGGGGGGGGGTTTCCGTCAGAGGGTAAACTCTGGCATTTGTCTGGCATCATGTTTCATTACAGCAAACATTTTAAAGTCTTCCTGTCTTTCTATTCATCTCTTTCTATCTTTCTCTTCCTCTTTCAATTTGTCTCTTTGATCATAGACAAAGTTAGCAATCCTGCGCAACTCTGCTATGTCTAAGGGGTTGGGCAGTTAGAGATGAAGCAGTGGAAATGTTCTTTAATATCTAAGGTGGACTGATCCACGAAGGCTGAAGCTAAAATCCTTTGGTCCTTCAGGCAGCTAAGGTCTAGGTGGGCATATGCAGTAGCTGCTTCTGACAAGCGGACCCAAAAGGCATCAGGGTTTTCCTTTTCCCTTTGTGTTGTTTCTTTTGAAATTCAGACTAGTTTAAAAGTTTTTTTTTCTTATTTCCTCTAGAGCTTCTAGTAAGTTATCTTTTGCTCTAGTGTATTTGTCCCATTGATTGGTATCATTATAATCCCAGTCAGGGCGATGTATTGGCCCTGCGATGTGGGCTGGGGCTGCCTGACCAGGGATAGTTGGTGGTTTGGCTATTTGGACTGTTTTTTTTTTTCCAAACAGTTTTAATAGTTCGTCTTTCATTAGAAAGACTTGTAACAGCTGAGTCATGTCACCCCAGGATGGATTATAGCTGTCTATGATAGATTTCAGGGTTTTAATAACTGTTTGAGGATCCGCCCTGAAAGCTGGGGTATCCTTTTTCCAGATGACTAGGTCAGAGGCAGAGAAGGGAGTGTGGGTAAAAACATATTCTAGTTGTCCCCTATTTCTGCCTAGCACTGGCTTGCTTAAAGGGGGGGCCATAATCTGTGCCTCAGTATTCCCTTCCCTGAAATGGGTTTCAGGCTTTTCTTTCTTTCTTTTTTTATTTTTCTCAGTCAGGTCTTTGGTCCTAACAATTTCAGCCCAGCAGTACCAATAGGGTATTTGGCTGGGCTTAATGCATGTTCTAAGTGCTTTCAGGGTTTTATAATCTAAAGTACCACTATCAGGCCAAATTTGTCTACCCATGTCATCTCGCAATAAAGCCCACTTTTTGCTAGCCCACTTTTTACAAATTCTTTTCACTTCCTTTCTATTCAAGTAATTTATCCAAGGGGGTCTCTTCCATTGCCCTCGAGCTACAACTTCCCATATTCCCTACCTGATGTGGGGATTACTTTGGTTTAGCCGGGCTCCCGCCAGTCAGTTTTCAGACAAAAAAGGTCTGGAAAGGACTCCGGTTTCCCTACACACGGAGTACGGGCCCCTTTCTCGTAGGGAAACTCCGCCAGTCAGTTTTAAGACCCCCCTAAAAAACAGGATCTTGGAGGACCGTCTGCCCCCTAGCAGCACGGTACGGGCCCCTTCCTACACACCGCCGTCAGTTTTCAGATCTCCCTTAAAGGTGGGGATCCGGAAGGACCTGCTCTGCTTTGTAAGGCAAACTATTTCCAATTTTGTTTGCCAGCAGCCGGTACGGGCCCCTTCTAAATGCACAGGGCTTTACTTGCGGGATGCACTGGGACTATTTATTCTGCTTTCTATTTATTTCCCAACAACAGTTCCTTTCTCAGCCCACTCGGTTTTTCTTACGTCCTTCAGAAGAACTCGCACTCTGTGATTACCCCTTGCATTCCCAAATCCAGCCGGTCACGGCTTGTTGGAGCTAGCAGCTGGCTGGGGTGCGGCTGGCAATCACAGAGGAGGTGAGAAGAAACGTTTCTTTTTCCTTAAAATCCAAATCCTTAAACAACTGGATTCTGGAAAATTCAAATGGCTCCTGCCATAAAACATGATTGCTACAACAGTGGAAAAATACACCCTCATGAGTTGCAAGACTGACAGTATAAAATACAGATGTGATGAATGAATGAATGAATTCAATGATAACATTTTACTTCATAGATTGTTTCTCCCCAGTCTAAGACTTAATTCATTTCAGTTGACACAAATAGCAGAAAATTGGACCTGAATGCTAAACGTGGATACTATCAACAAAAAATTATGTTTGTAGAACCCAAATGGAATACAACCCCCCCTCCCCCCCAAATGGCTCACAGCTAGAACTTCTCAAAGTCAACCAGGCAAGGAAAATAAGAGATGCATCAGGCTTGTGATAACTAAGACAATCCTAAATTCAGGGAGACTTTAAGAAGTGTGGAAAAAGTATGAAAAATCCTTATGTTGCTTTGAAAGGTTAAATCACCCAAGCAGTATTTTGATTTTCTTCAGGTGCATGAGTATCAAATTTAATCTTTCCAAAAACACCTAAAACAACAGGTGCATGTTCCTAAACACTCAGTGATAATCTAGGACTCTCTTTCATGTATATGTTTGAGTGTATAGAGAGGAACAACTAGATGCAACCCTTCCCTTATTGAACTGTCTGTACTATAAAAACAATGGCGGAAATAATTCAGCACAAAGTGAGATGAAATGATTGGACTAGTAGGTCTGGGCTGAAAAAAATTGGACAACCACTAGACAGTAACGAAGACATACAGACAACTTTTATTCTTTGGTGAGTGAAAGATCTCACATATATAGAGGGTTGAGACATGTTTCTCGAGAAAAGTACTCCAACTCCTCCACTCACAATGGAATCCAGGCTTGAATTTTTGGGCCTGGACAATCTGGAACTGCGGTCCGATCTGAGCATAGTTCACAAAATTGTCTGCTATAACATCTTGCCTGTCAATGACTTATTCAGCTTCAAGCACAATAATACACAACAAACAACCGATACAAACTCAAGGTAAACTGCTTCAAACTCGATTGCAGAAAATACGACTTCAGCTACAGAGTGGTCAACACCTGGAACGCCCTACCCAACTCCGTTTTTACAGCCTCAACCCCTCACAGCTTCAACCTCAAACTGTCTATCATGGACCTCACTCTATTCCTAAGAGGTCCTTAAAGGGGGCGTGCATAAGCGCACCAGCGTGCCTACCATCCCTTGTCTTACTGCCCCCATTTATCTATACTTACTTCCTTTATTCATGTTTATGTTCATACCTATACTTGTTATCTTGTACATGTTTGACAACAAATAAATTTAAAATAAAATAAAATATTGCAGGCCTGAACTGGAGGCACTGGAAATGTGCGGTTGTGATAGAAAAGACCCCTCCAGGCAAGCACAGCTCTTCAGCAGGACATAGAGCATATGGACTGTGAGGCTTGAAGCATCTGGGCAAAAGCTTTACATATTCCCAGTGAGATTTAGTTGGGCAGATGGTGTTATCTAGGTATCTAAAAATTGTAGTTAAAATTATTTCAGTCTTCCCCACAAGGTCACATCTAACCTATAGACGTCTTCCATGGCATCTGATAAAACTGAGGAAGAATGACTATTTTGATATTAACAGATTCAGATTATGGTTGCTTTCAAAGATGTAACACAACATTCTATGACATTGTAAATATAGTGTTAGATGTTCTGTGGATTTGATAGCAGAAAAGCAAAGTCTATACAATTTTAGAAAATAAAAAAAACAGTGAAATACGTACTTATCTTTCATGGGCCACAGGTCACTGCTGAGACCCCAGATCAGATAATCATCATTCACCTTCAGATTCAGAGTCTCCTGGCATTTCCTTTGACTTATATACTGGAGGGCCTTTGCTTGTGGATTTTGGTCACTGCCTGCAGAAATTAGAATCTGGATAAATATTTCATTAGGGGTATAGTCTTTCATTGGTTTAATTCCCCTACTGTATGTATTACATGGCTAATGGCAAGCAACTGGCAAAGAAGAAGCAGCTGTATTTAGTGGATGAATTCTTTTTGCTATTGGTTCATATTTATCACCCTGGGGCAAATAAACCATCTTCTGAGTTCTACCTTTTTCCTCAGAGAGGCCCATTATATGCCACACAGATACTGCAGCATCTGACCCTGAAAAACCAGTTCCCAATCTCAGCACTAGAGCTGTGGATGATAAAGAGCTAATTCCAACTAACAAAATGAAAAGTATCTGGCATTTTTGCAGAGGGAAGGGAGGCTATCGGAAACTCCCGTACAACAGATCCTTCCCCCCACTCGTTTGGAGGATCTTCTGACTCACTGGAGCAGATTGATCAGGATACAGAAAACTGGTAGAATGATAAAAATGTGCCGGTGGCCTAGAGGTGAAGCTCTTGCCTCACAATCAGGAGGTTGTGAATTCGATCCTAGGTAGAGTATCTATACTTGGAACAGACTCTCCTACTCAAGCAGGGGGTTGAACTAGATGACCTCCAAGGTCCCTTCCAACTCTATGTTATTCTGTGTTCTTTCTTCTGATGGTACTTGTCCCTAGTTCCTCATTCCATCAGACAAAATACTGAGTATTTATTTAAAACAGAAAGATTTATCTTTAGAAAAACCATATTGTGAGTTTGAATAACAGTAATAATGATGTGGAATAAGGTACTTGCAGAGAAAAAAGAGTGAAGAGATTAGTTTAAAGCCATCCTCTTCAAAGCAAAAAAATACATTTATTCATTTTTAAACTTGTATACTATCCCATATTCCTTTTGATAATTCATAAAGGTACAAATATGGGAACTTCGAAGGGATTACTGAAAGACATTTGTGAGGATGATGAATCTTTAATGTTACAAAACATTTTGGAAATACAAGTAATAGCAATAGCAGTAGCACTTATATACCATCTTGTAATGCTTTACAGCCCTCGCTAAACTGTTTAGAGAGTTTGCATATTTTCCCCAACAATCTGGGTCCTCATTTTACTTACCTCAGAAGGATGGAAGGCTGAGTCAAATCTTGAGTCGGTCAGGATTGAACTGCTGGCAGCTGGCAGAGTTAGCCTGCAATACTGCATTCTAACCACTGAGCCATCACAGTTTCTCTTACAACCCCAACTGGGACCAGAGTTTCCATGGCTAAGCAAGACAATCCTTAAATGAGTCGTGCTCGATTGTATGGCCTTTTTTGCCATGGTTGTTAATTGAATCACACAGTTGTTAAGTGCACCTGGCTTCCTCCCATGGACTTTGCTTGTTATAAGGCAGCTGGGAAGGTCACAAATAGAGATCATATGATCTCAGGACACTATAACTATCATACAGTAGTTGCCAAGTGCCCAAATGATGAGCATGTGACCCTGGGGATGCTGCAACAGTTGTAAATGTGAGGACTATTCATAAGTCATATTTTTCAGGGCCATTGTAACTTTGAATAGTTGCTAAACGAAGGGTTGTAAGTTGAAGACTACCTATATTTAAATGCACTTTTTGAAACAATTTCTATCTGATTGCCTGTAGCAAACACTTCTCTAGAAATGTGAGTTTCTATACAATAAAATATGTCCTATTAACACTTGAAACACTAGGCTTTTAATAGCTGCCCTCTTTTTCCTTTTGAGAGAACTATGACACTATTTGTCAAGGAAAAATCTTGCAAACACTGAAGTTCTGATCATACAGATGAAAATTCAGTTGGTAAGTAAAGTTCTACCTGGTATCTGGGTGATCCCTGCCCTGTTGACCTTTTGGAAAGCCTTCAAGACCTTGGGTTAGAGGAGTTCCTGTCAGGTACATTTGGGAGTGTGGATGTTATCAGTTGGATTCAGCCTGTGCGCCTGTACTTTATTCATTTGTCCTCTTCCATTAATAATTTCACTATATTGCATTTTTAGTTTTGTTTGTATTGTATTGTACATTGCCCAGAGTCACTTTAGATAGGGGGACAATTAAAATGAATATATTAAATCAAGTTAAATACACTAATGTGAACTTTCAAATGGGGTTCAAATAAACTTTCAGGTTTAGTGAAAATATTTCCACTATTTAATATGTGATATATCAGGGCTGTTAAACTTGTGGCCCACAGGCCGGATGCATGGCGTGCTAGCCCTGCCCCCACCAGTTTGACACCCCTGTGATATATTTTAGGGGGAAATTCTTACCTGCTTTAATAACTTCTAAAACGTCCATGACATAGGTATCATTACCATCTTTTTCTTCTATTCTCAGCAGCTTGGCTTTGTAGACTTTTAAGAACCAAGACAGAAACAATCCTCATTAAGACGGCTGATTATTTTACACCATGAGGGGCATAATCAGTGAGGCACACACTACGGAGACTCTGAAACCTCCAGGTCATGGTGGTCCCAAAGGTGCTTTTCCAAAAAGCAACTGGATTTCTTTTGTTACCAAGAAAGTCCGGTTGCCTTTTGGAAAAGCACCTTTGGGACAGGTACTGCTGACATTTCCACCTAGACTATGGGCACTTCCAAGGCTGGATCTTTGTGGCAGTCTTGACTCCTCCAGGTGAGGCCACTGAGTACCAGCTCCACTGTGGGGTGTAGGGAAGCAAATTGTGTATTTTTTCTTGCATGTTGCGGTTCTGTGAGTGTGATAGTATTGTCAGCCTTGAGAGGTAGTCCAGTCAGGAAACGTGGCCAGATGGACTAACATTACTTTATTGTAAGGTTTCATAAATAGAATTTTGCAAGTCTGAAAGTACATTTCTCCCCTGTTCCCTTTACAGCCCATGAAACTAGGAAGGGTTTTTTCTGAGACATTGGCCATGCCTCCATTCCTTTTGTAGGCTAAGCTGCCCCTTGTCCAGCCACTCTCTGGCATTAGCTCTTTCCCCTGTTTCCCAAGGTCACTCCCAGATACCATTACAGATTTCTTGGAATGACCTTAGGAGACAAGAGGAAGACAGGCAATAGTCTCATCAGTCTGTGAGTGTGGGAAAAGCATGGGAAATATTTCAGAGGGGAACCTTCCCTAGTTTTCCAGAGACTAGAAAGAGATGAATAGATAAATAGGTTAAATCTTCAAGAAACTATTTAATATTGTGCTTATGATAAATATTGTGCTGATGTGCCTGGTTGCTCTTCTTGTCTGAACCACCTTGAAGGGCTAACTTTCCAAACAGTCCTTTCACCCCATCTTCACAGCAAGGTAGCATTTCATCTCTGAATTTTGATATACGGCGCCATGCAGATTACTGCAGTTTGGCTTCATGCTGCTTTTTGAAGCATTGAGAGTGAAAACAGTGAATGTGTGGAGCTGTGGAATTGTTCTCCAAATCCTGGTGTTTTGGCTCTGCTTACTCATTGATACAGATCTACTTCTAGGAGCCCCGAATTGTTATGCTACACTCGAGGGTCAATAACACACAAACAAGTAGCACCATGTTAACTAGAAAAATATCACCGCAGGATGAAGGTGTGTATCAGCAGCTAAGCATTCCAAGGGTAAAAAAAATCCATGAATATTATGAATAAATTGAAAATGGTTGCTTCAAATCATGATAGTTAGAATGCTGTTAACAGTGAAAGACACCACTACCTTATTAATAAGATTCTAACAATATAAATACCATAATCCACATTTGGGGCGCAGGCTTTTTGAATTCGTAACTGAAGATCAATCTTTTCCTGCTGGTTGAGCAAGGAACAGATTTTCCTGCTGGTTGAGCAAGGAACAGATTGCTTCAAGGGGAGAAAAGAGAAGACAAAATGTTCGATTGATTGTTGAGGATACATGTTCTGATTTAAAAGACATTGCTAGGGCAAAAATTATCCAGCCCAGAGCAGGTAACATCTCATTTGTAGAAGACATCTGTGTTTGATAATCAGAAACAAGAAATACTAATTTAAATGTGGCACCATATATCTAGGGCTAATCTACAAACATAGTTATTTGATAATGTGCTATTTCAAATAGCAGAACAACAGATAGAGTTGTAAGGAACCTTGGAGATCTAGTCCAAACCCTGCTCATGCAGGAAACTGTACCATTTCAGACGAATGGTTGTCCAATCTCTTCTTAAAAACTTCCATTGTTTGAGCACTCCCAATTTCTGGAGGCAAGTCATGATGCGTTGCGGGTCCCAGTGCCGGGATGAATCAGCTGACGACCTGCACCCAGGCAGACTGTCTGGGTGGGCTCCTCTTGATGGCAAAGATGACAGCGACACAAAGGTTTCTTTTGGTGAGAGGAAGCCCAGATAGTACTACGCACCTCTCTTTTATTGTGCAGCAAGCGGGGGGAGGGTTAGGTTACACATGAGGTTAGACAGGAACAGGAAACACTGCCATATATGGCTAATCCTTATGCTATAGCTGACTCAGGTTTTACA